TACCTCACAGAGGCGCGACCGGCGGTTTCCCGGGCAATGGTGGTTCCCGCCTTTGCGTATGAGGCGAATGCTTTGCCTCCCCCTCCCCCGCCGCGCCCTCGCTCCGCCGCTACCTGACGAGGTTGACGCCCATGGCGATGTTGCGGTCGCAGCGGTACGTGTCGAAGCCCTCGGAGCGCATGGTGAGCTGCACCAGCGAGACGTGCGAGGAGTCCATGCTCTGCAGACTGATGCCGCCCGAGCCCAGGTCCCAGCAGGCCTCCGTGATGAGGTCCTTGAGAGCCTCCAGCACCTTCTTCAGCAACGAGCCCTGAATCAGCCGCGCCTCGAACATCCTGACGGCGAGAACAGGAGACTTTTCGCGCGACCCGCCTCCTGCACCTCTTTATAAGACTGGGAGATGAATATTTAGCGCGCGTGCGCGCGGACGTCAGCTTTGGCTCCGCCCGGAAGAGGCTGTCCGCAACTTAGACCCAATCAAAATGGGGCTCTCGGGGTTCCTGTTGACCAATCAGAATGCAGGGAAAGAACGAGCTTTCTTCCCCCCCCTCCAGCTTCCGGAAGGGCTTTGCCCGGGCTTGCTCGTGCGGGCTGCGGAGGGCGCTTCGTTTTGCAACCGGGCGCCCTCCGGATGTGACGGGAAAGACGTTGACATTTCTTCTGCGCTGGATGGCCTTCAGCTGGGGATTATGGGAATTGAAATCCAGCTTGGAAAAAACTCCAAAATGCTGTTCGCGGAGATGTCGCGATGCCGACTTGTGTTCTTGTTCATTTTGCTATCTCTGTTTAAAAAAAAAAAAAAAAAGACAAATTTCCCCACTGATTTTCTCCCTGCAACCTTCCCACAAGGAAAGTCAACGGTGCGGCCAGCAGAAAGTCAAAAGTTGCTCCTGTTCTTACTATTTTATGACCCCAGCCCCCAGTCATTTTTTTTTGTTAAGGAAATATCTGAAATAATAACCCAACGGGGCACAGGTTGTCTACTTAGAAATTAGAAGCTTTATGTGATAAAAGTCTCTTCTGCACATTCTCACAAAAGTATTAAATGGATTCTGAACCTTTCTATAGAAATTGCAGTGCAGCAGAATACGAACAAAAAGTACAGCACACGGGCAAATTGTTTGGATAAGAGGACTTTGAAGTGATACCCAGTGTAAGGACTGGTGGTAATATAAAAAAGTTTAAATGTAGAAAATGGGGTTAGAAGGGTTCTTGGAGGCCTTTTAGTGCTTGAGTAGGAAAACTTACACCATTCCAGACAAATGGCTGGATGCTCAATTAGCAGCCAGCAGCATTTTCTCCAATCATTCATTTTACTTTACTCAAAAAACATTTACTCAAGAAGTCATTTATTGCCCAAATGAAAGCTTTTTTCCTGCTTCTGTGAAAGTGACGATTGTCTACCAGGGAAGGTGAGTGGTCAGGAGAAGGACTGGCTGTTTTCTTTCCCCCCCCCCCCCAAGCTCAGCTTTTGAGAGCCATCACTGATGCGCTCCTTGCCTTCTGCAGTGACATCACGTTTCATCATCAGCTTCTACTCTGGAAATTCTCTTGGCATCTCAGAATGTCCAGGGTTACCATAGGGACAGGAGTAAACACTTTTAAATGATTCCAGCCTTACTGACCATTTTTTACTGGACGCTGAGTGGTTAGCAGGCAGCGTCCATATGTACCATCGTTCGAGATATAATATTTTCCCCATCATGGCAGGTAAGAATTGGGGCTTCTCACCCATTGAAGGAATCCCTTGTTTCTCTAGATAGTCTCAGTCTTAGTTGCACCAAGAGGCAGAGCTGTAGAAAGGAGAATGTTTGGGGATGAGCAGTAAAAGAAAAGCCAAGGAAATCCATGTTGGAAAGGAAGCCAGAAGGAAAACAATGGGGTGAGCCATCATTAGACCATAATTTTGGGGAAATCTTCACTCCTTTTTATTGGATGTACTCATGTCTTTGGTACTTTATTCAGTGGAGGTTTATATCTGCTAACAAGATGTGATTTTCAAAGTATTTTTCTGTATAGAAATAGATGTTTAATTCTATTCATCACATCTAAAGTTCAGCAGGGGCAGTGATGAAAGAAAGGAGTGAAAGGAAACATTGAATGGCAAATCAGGAAAAAAAATATCCTGCTGAATTGCCTTTGTTTCTCTGTGGCCGAAGAAGAGAATTCAGGGTCCTTTTAAAGTTTTAGGGGGGATGCAAACTCACTAGGGTCCCTACTTTTGAACGGCAAAATATTTTTATTTGGAAGAAGCCTCCAAGCAGCAGGGCGTAGGCAAGGGTAAATCTCTCAAAGCTCTTATGGAGTAACTGCTTATGGAGTGACTAAACTACAAGATACCCTCAAGCCCCTCTGTCTACTTCCAAGGAAGTTGTAAAAAGAAGGAAAATGCTCCTTTCTTCCCTTTCCTTCCGGGGCAGGTGTGCTGGGGAGAAGGACTTTGTGCCTGGGGGAGTCATAGGGGTTTAGCCTCTCCCTGGACATTTTGTGATGAGGACCTAGGTCCAAAACAGTACTAGCCTGTTTAAATCCCTTCGTCCAGAGAAGTGCAACCTGAGTTCTCACCAAATGCTAAGGCTTTAACATAAAAGAGGGGTAAAGTGCTTTAAACAAATAATTAGATACGTAAGATGAAGGACTAGAGGCCTGGTTTCTTTCTTTGTGTGTTACAGATGTTCTAAACCAATTGTGCCTCCTGCTGGCTGAGTGGCAGCCATTTTCCTGGGACGACACTGAAGGTAAGAATAACACTGGATAAAAATTATTAGGGCTGATCCAGAGATGACTGACTAATGGACTTTCTATCCTTTCTTTTTCTTTCTTTCTTTCTTTCTTTCTTTCTTTCTTTCTTTCTTTCTTTCTTTCTTTCTTTCTTTCTTTCTTTCTTTCTTTCTTTCGTGTTTTACAGAGGATATTGAAGAACTGTCCACTCAGCTGGCAGGATGGCATCCTTTTAACCATGGACAAAGTCCATCTTCCCTTTTAGAAGGTGAATGTTTTCCAGCAATAACAACATAATAGCATAATAATTATGAATGACTAATGGCCTTGTTTCTTTTGTCTTTCAGATGAAATGAATGAACTGTGCCACTGGATAGCTGAATGGTGGCCATTCCATCTTGGATGGTGCCAAACACCGGCTGTCCAAGGTTTTCCAGCCGTTTTGTTTCATTATTGCCTTTAATATGCCCTTTTTGCAGCTGTATCAGCTCCGTATCTGGGTAGCTGGGGAAGGACGGGGTCAGGAAATAAAGATGCTGGGGCTGATCCAGAGATAAATGAATAATGATCTTGCTTCTTCCTACGTATGTTTTACAGATGACATCCATAGCTTATGCCATCGGCTGGTCCGGTGGCACCCATTCACAAGTTGACAAACTGAGTTTGCCATTCTTCTGAAGTGGAAAGAAATGAACCACAGGATGATTGTTGCAATAACTGGGATAAAGAGCACCTTATTTATTATGCAATTAAAATATCTGATTGTAAAAGCAGTCTCTTTCTCATCTCTTTTGCATAGCTACACAGAAAGCACAAAGACAAATCTATTTAAAAAGTCCTGCTCGTGATTTTAAAATGGGCCAGAAAACTAACGTAGCACCATTCAGGAATACTCGTCTAGTACGGTTTGTCAGCCAGTTACAAATCCATCTGGTGGCGACGCTGTCAATCTCATCTTTTTCTAGTTTACTAAGAAGTAGGTTGCGGTCTACTTTGTGAACACCTGGCTGAAGTCTAAGTACACTAAGTCCACTGCATAACAGTTCCAGCTAAAGATCCAGGCACCTGAAGGCAGGACGAGAAGCAATGGGTGGAAACTGATCAAGGAGAGAAGCAACTTAGAACTAAGGAGAAACTTCCTGACAGTTAGAACAATTAACCAGTGGAACAACCTGCCTCCAGAAGCGGTGAATGCTCCAACACTGGAAGTTTTTAAGAAGAGACTGGACAGCCATTTGTCTGAAATGGTATAGGGTTTCCTGCCTGAGCAGGGGGTTGGACTAGATGACCTCCAAGGTCCCTTCCAACTGTACTATTATGATGATGATGATGATTATTATTATTATTATTATTATTATTATTATTATTTCATTGCTTCCCAAGACCGGCACGCAGCCGCTTCGCTCAGAACTGAACACGAGCCAAGGGAGAACGTGGGAAAGAACCCCTAACAGCTCCAGGCGCGGCAGCCACGATCTCCGAAGGTCAGGCGAGCCTCACCCCGGCAGACGAGGCCGCTTTCGGCCAGCGAAGGGAGCGGAGCTTAGCTTGCGTCGCAGGAGGAGGAACGGCTTAGAAAGAGAAGAGTCGCCTAGCACTCTCGGAGCATTGGGCGATGTTGCCGGGGGGCCTTCGGAGGAAAAAACCACGAAGCCGCCCTTGCAAGTGGCGGAGGCTGCAGGCGCAGCTAAAGGCGGGCGGAGGGAGCGCGGGGCGATTTTGACCCGGCTAGCAAGCGCGGGAGGCCCCGCGAGATGCGCCCCGGGAGAGTCGTCTGGAGAGGCGGCCTTCGCCACCAGGGGAAAGGCATTTGGCACAGCGGGAAATTGCCAGGTTGGAGGCAGCGCCGCTTCTGCTGGCTTCCGCCGCATTCCCCCAACGCCCGGGCCAGGGGTAGGCAACCTTGGCTCTTTTAGGACTCGTGGACTTCAACTCCCAGAATTCCTGAGCCAGCCAAGCTGGCTCAGGAATTCTGGGAGTTGAAGTCCACGAGTCCTAAAAGAGCCAAGGTTGCCTACCCGTGGCCCGGGCTGAGCGGGCCCTACCCGGGGCAGCAGCCGCCCTCGGCCGCCTCCCCGCCCGGACCAGCCGCTTCCTGCGCCGCGAAGCCTGCGGACGGCGAGCCCCGCCCCCCGGGCCGATCCGCGCCGGGATTGGCCGCTCCCCCCGAGCCCCGCCCCGATTCCCGGGCTCGGCTGTCGGGGCGGCGGCTGCTGCTGCTGCTGCTGCTGCTGCTGCTGCGTCGGGCCGAGGCGAGGCGAGGCGGAGCGCGGGCCAGGATGAGCGAGCTCAGGCAGCGGCTGGCCAGGGAGGCGGACGGGCAGCGCGACGCCGAGGGCAAGGTAGGCGAGTCGGCCAGGGACGAGCGTCTGGAGGCGGCGACGCGTGTCCCGCGCCACGGCGGAAGGGCGGGGGTCCCGGGGCGGCGGGGGAGCGGGCCTCCCTCCCTCCCTCCCTCCCTTCCCGGGCCTGCGGGGCGCGGAGCTCGGGCGAGGCGAGGCGGCTGCGAGCAGTCCCCGGGCCGGAAGAGCGGCGGTGGCGGCCGGGAGAGCTGCGCGGCTCCGGCCCTTAAAGCCACAATGCTCCGGGGCTCTTTCTCGGCAGCCCTTGCCCGGGGAGCGGGGTCCCCCGGCCGCCCAGCCGCTGCGTGGGCTCCTCTTGGGGAATCGAAGCGGGGCGTCGCGTACGGGAGAACCGGCTGACCGGGAGATGTGAGCGCGCTGCTTGCTAAGGCGGGTGCACTTCAGTCAGTCAATCCATCCATCCGTCAGAATAGAGCTGGAAGGGACCTTAGAGGTCTTCTAGTCCAGCCCCCTGCTCCAGCAGGAGACCCAAACCATCTCAGGCAAAGACCCTGCACCCTTTCAGACAGCTGCGCCTGGCGAAGCCCGAGACAGGGGGGGGGGGGCTGGCCCGCTTTCCTTCCCGTGGCGAATTACACTCGTGTCATCCAGCCTAACGGTGCTCCCGTCCGGACACTTGCTTGGTCGGGCAGGACGAGGCCAGGTTTAAGTTTTCGCGCGGCTTTTGTGGCTTGCAGCATCTGCCTCCCATCTGGCCCGGTTTGAGCGCGGGGTAGCTTTAAACTGTGTGGGTGGCAACTTCCAGAGTTCCCGAGCCAGCAGGCTTTCAGTGGTGAGGACTTCAACTCTCAGAATGGAACAGAGAACTTAGATTGCTAGGGCTGGAAGGGACCTTGGAGGTCTTCTAGTCCAACCCCCTGCTCAAGGCAGGGGGCCTTATGCTGCAGATGGAGATCGACCTCCAAGGAGAAGAAGCAGCAGCATCTCAACCAGTATTTGTAAGGCATCTTTATTGGTGTCCTGATTTGGGGGAAAAACAGCAGAAGTTGGATACTGAGTGATGTGGAGCAAAGTTTCAGTTCTTTTAGTACAGGAGTAGGCAACCTTGGTTCTTTTCTGACTCATGGACTTCAACTCCCAGAATTCCTGAGCCAGCTATGCTGGCTCAGGAATTCTGGGAGTTGAAGTCCATGAGTCAGAAAAGAACCAAGGTTGCCTACCCCTGTTTTAGTACATCTCCGCATTTGGGCCACGTTACCTTCATGCTGGAGATGCTGGCCTGGTTCCTTTCCAAGCTCAGTTCAAGAGAGTTCGTGGAGTGTTCAGATCCTCCATGCGCTGAAGTCCCCATCAGGATCCTTCCTCCTGTGGATTCCACCTTTTCCTCACTGGTCCTCTGTAGGCCAACTTGGCCGGTCTTGTCCCAGATGCGTTAATGCTGGTTGTCCATTCCCCCCTCTTCATGGCAGGGCTTTGTGGAATGGATGGTCAGGCTGTTAGAGGTTTGTTGACTGTTCGGGCTTTACTGATCATTTCTATAACCCTTCAGGATGAACATTGTAGGAATTAGTCAACTATAGAAGGAACAGGATTAAGAGAATCAAGCTAGACTATAACAAAATAGAATGACAGAGTTGGAAGGGACCTTGGAGGTCTTCTAGTCCAACCCTCTTCTCAGGCAGGAAACCCTATAGTATAGGGCTTCCTGCCTGAGCAGGGGGTTGGACTAGAAGACCTCCAAGGTCCCTTCCAACTCTGTCATTCTGTTATATGAGTACATAATTTCTAACATTTGGTTCGGAGAAGCACCACCTTTTTTATTGGTGTCCAAATCTAGGGGGGAGTGCTAGTTTCCTAGCCGAGAGAGCCAGTGTTGTCTGAAGACATTTCCATGGTCATGTGGCCGGCATGACTATATCCTGAAGCATATGGAACAGTTTACCTTCTCACCTAGGTATCATGTGGAAAGGAACACTTAGTCATAGTAGATATCTGTATGTTTTCTGATTGAAGGACCAACGGTTTCCCCCCAAAATACAGCTATGTGGTATTGCAGAATAAATGTGTGGTCTGTTCTTATTTTGTTCTCTGACTCTCTTAAGCAGACTGATAACTTCAGATTCACAGCCTCAAGAACAGGCTCCCAAATAAGAGTGAAAACATCTGAACTTAAAATGAAACATGGTTCTTTTGTAGGTCAAGCAACACACGAATGTTTTGCCCTACTTCTGTAACACATCCTTTAGGTAGATACCACATGATACCTAGGTGAGGTCTCACCAGTGTTCTCTTTGCTTACTGTTGAGAAGAATTAAGTGCTGTGTGCTTTATTTATATACTACAATATTGAGAATTCGAGGTTATGATGTAAGTATAATGTTTATACTGGTGGGACTGATTTTAAAACAGTTTAATCTTTTTGCAAGAATTCCCTCATCTTCTGCATTGATCTCAGGTGTGAGTGAACTTATTTATGGCCAGAAAATTCACGGTTGCTTATTATCACAGAACAACCATTAGTTGCTGTTTTTAAAAACCCTTATCTTTGTGTAGAAATATGCAGTTTCCAGACTTTAAAAAAAGAGTCTTGAAATGGCAGTCACATGACATAAATATTGTATGAATCTGAATAAAAGGCAATAGTTTTCAGATGTTGCTTGCATTTCTTATAGTTGCAAATTGTGTTAGTATGGTGCACTGTTCGTATTGTAAGGACATAGGCATAGGATGCAGTTGTGATTACTGTGTGGCTATCAAACCCCATTGGCTTTTTGGACATTACTGCAGTGGATTTTATATGTAGCTGATCAAAATACAGAATAACAGTTGGTAGGGACCTTGTAGGTCTTCTAGTCCAGGGGTAGGCAACCTTGGCTCTTTTATCACTTGTGGACTTCATGTCCCAGAATTCCTGAGCCAGCTCCATTTCACTCCCCTGCTCAATCTGAGGTTCAAACAAGGACGACTAATAATCTTTCTGTCCTGTATTGTGTTATGTATTGATTTAATATGAAACAACTCAGGGCATCTAGATTACGTGCAATATCTGGATGCAATCAATATATTTATTTAACAAGATCAGCAACTCAGGGCATCTAGATTACTTGCAACCAACTGTCTGTGTCAGCCTGGCTGTCTATCTTTGTCTATTTATCTTATGTCTGTCTGCCTACCTACCTACCTATCTACCTACCTATCTAGAGCAGGGCATCTGGATTATATGCAACATTAGACACCAGCCACATTCTTGGTGTCTGTGCTTTGCTCACGGGGAGTCTCCATTCACCATGTGGTCTGTGATCTGCAGTGTCCCAGAAGGATTCTGTTTCTTTGGATTCTGCTTCCTGTAAGTGCCAGAAAGGGCAGCTTATTGTTCTTTTGATTCCAGATGGAAAATGCTTGGCTTAGAAATAAGGAAGCCAAGAAGAGGAAATATGTGCAATTCAGAAAGAAGGTTGGGGATGGAATAAAATTGAGTGGCTACAGGTTGGCCACTAAATACTGTCGGTAGGTTGAAATAGCTGAAAAGGAAGAATTGGATTTCAAGGCAGGAAAGAGCTCAGGTGGGTGCCACAGAAGGTATCATTTCCCCCCCCCTCCCCAAATTTCTTCAGATTCTTTTCCTTACAGATAGTCTTGTCCCCACATGACCACATCTCTTTAGAGTCCTTGAACCAAGACATCCTTGCTTATTATTCCTCTCTGGGAAGACCTATGGCTGTAAAAGCGGTATATCTAGTGTTGACGCTTTAAGTAAGATCAGGCAAGTTCCAACATTTGGAAACAGGCCAGAATTCAGTTCTGGCTTGGAGCAGAATTTTCCCCTGAAACGACTTCCCAAATTTGATGCTCATGGGAAAAGGTGTAGGAAATGCTTTATTCCGATATTTCCGTTTTTTGAGTTCTGCAAGAAGAGGCTTCTTACTAATCTCAAGAAAACGTTGTACATTATGTAAGCCACAATGCTGCCTGTTCAGTGGAGCCTGAGAATTTCCTGCCTCCAGAGGTTTGCAATCCTGAAATAGATCAAGAAAAGAAAATCACTGTTAGCAAGGAATAAAAGATGAGCAACATCCTGAGGTTTTAGTCTGGTGTGATTTTTTTACAAGGATAGATTTTGCCTGTATTTATTTGCAGGACTGTTAGAAAAAATATTTTTCTCATTAAAAATAGGGATGATCATTTTCCTTTGATTTTTTTCATTTTACAATGCAAAACATAACTCCATTTTAGACTTCTGTTGTTGACTTCTGCAATTAGGATCTTGACGTCTACGGAGTGCTTTCTAGGGAATGTGTTTCCTTTTATGGGATTCTTTTGCTCAGAGTTGGATTAAAGCAGGCTTGAGTGCCTGGATGGCAAGCGACCTTGAGCTGCTTCTGCTGCCCAGGCTGAGTTGCTGGAAATCCCTCACTGATCTTACCTTGCAGGAGTCAGAGCTGGAGAACAAGCTGGATGGAGAAACTACATCGGATAGCGAGAACAAGTCGGAGGTCGCCCCGGCCCCTTCGGTCGATGACACCCCTAAGGTCCTCAACAGAGCACTGTCCCACCTGTCCTCAAGGTACCAGGATGCCAAAATGCTCTTGAGTGTTCGGGTTTTTTTTCTCTTGTGGGCAGCTATGAATTGGCTTTACCTGGTGGACCATCCTGCCAACAGCATCCACCTCTTTTTCTTGTCATGTCACATTGTGTTTCAAAAATTCTCCCAGCTGAGTTCTGACTCAGAAACACACTTCGCCATATGCTAAGATCAGGATGAGGGATCTTTTCCCCCAATGACCTCATCCAGGCACCGACACAAGACTGGTCTCCTTATTACCAGCCCAATGTAGAAGACATAATATGCTTCGTTTGGTTCATAGCTTAACGTGTGCTGTAAATGTAACCAGTTGTGGTTTATTTGGTAACCATCATGAAGCAAAGCGTGCTTTATATAGTTTGTGAAGCCAGGTGGGGTCTGCATTGGGGGAAAAACAGGCAACTGGTGGCTTTAGATCAGGCATGTCCAAAGTCCGGCCCGCGGGCCATTTGCGGCCCGCGGCCCGGTTTAATCCGGCCCTCGAGCAGCCCTCCCTGCTCTATATAAATGCGGCCCTCCCACGGCCCTCCGGCAAGTCCCATGAGAGAGAGAGAGAGAGAGAGAGAGAGAGAGAGAGAGAG